TATATATATATATATATATATATTACTGGCATGAAAGTGACACTCTGTCATGGAAGCGAAGCAGTTGCTTCCTGTCAAAGTTGAAAGTGTTGTGGGAATGAATCAGGCAGAAGGGAGGGAGGTTTATCGACAGTCTGATATACTGCAATGCTGAGGAGACACTCACACTGTTTAGAGTCAACAGAGCGGAGGAGTTGAGCTTATCTCACCACCAGAGAGAAAACACTGAGACAGAGAGAGATTCCAGAGTGCTGACGTGTCCTCAGAGACAGACCGTGAACGACGAGCTGTACAGCACTGAGCTTGAAATTACTGAGCGTTTATATACAGCTTCTTAGGAGAAAGAATGCATGCAATTCCTCAGCTAGCATTGCCATTCTGTGACGAAAACTACATATTCAGAGGTTTTATATAGGCGTAGACAGACACATCAGAAGGATGAATCCAGTGCAGTGGCTGAGGGTGAGCTGGTGTGTGTCACAGTACAAATGTTTTAATGCTTTTTATCAGATCAGGCCACTTAAAAGGCAGGAGGCTGGTCGATGGTTCACTCTGATGAATAGGTAATGTCATTAGCTCAGGCTGTGATTGGCAGATGCAGCCAGAGTGAGGTATCATGGGATTGATCCACCGACCCTGGCAGTACTATGATGTTGGGCTTCATAAAATCACTTATTGGTTTATTAAATATTGATATTGACTTTCCTGGAGTAGGTAGGGCCTTTATTTTCAATATATAACAACAAAGTCAGATCAGTTTGTAGTAAAATACCTGTTAAAGTATAGATTTAACTTTTTAAAAAACTATATAGCAACATTTTGAAAAACTTTTCTTCTGTGGTTCACTATTTAGTTGTCATTAGCGCCGAGTTGGGTGAAATAAGACATCCATTCATTAGTTACAATCAGTGTTGCCAACTTAGCAATTTTGTTGCTAAATTTAGCAACTTTTCAGACTACCCTAGCAACTTTTTCTTCCAAAAGCACCTAGCAACAAATTGAGCAATTTTAAACATTTATTTGGCAACTTTTAGCAACTTTTGATAAGGACTCAGACAATAAAAAGGCACACATTGTCCATCCAAATTACACAAAAAGAGGAAACCACAGATGCCTAGCAGTACACACGTCACGAGAATTGAGTTTTGCAATTGTTCAATTTAATAATAATAATAATAATTGAATAATTTGATAATTGAATAATTGTTCATTTATGGTACACTTTGTTAGTAGCTTGTTCCTGCGATTGTTGATCAGTTAGTACACTGTAAGAAAAATGGAAAATCTTTTAGGACATTATCCATTATCCATCATCCTTTGTAACCCTGTAACCCGAAAACACAATGCGTAATTTAAAATAGGTCAAAAAACCATTACGGAAAATTCTTTCATATTAACAGTAGATTGTGCCTTATTTTTACAGACTTTTCTTAGAGTGTAGCATACTAACTAACTACTAATACACTGCTTAAAGCATAATTGTTGAGAATGTGTAGAGTTTACTAGCTAGTTTTTTGCGCCATCTGCCAGCAGAATGTGCATAACAACAAACTATATTTATTTGTATTTAGTGTAAAAAGTACTGCATTTCAACTGTATTGTCACTACGTCATACCAAAATAAAATAAATGTGTTTTGATTTAGTAACAGACGGGTGTAACTATAAAAAACGTTACCAGAGATGGAGGCCACATGGATCAATATAACTCCAACCAGGACAGAGGCCTCAACCGCTAATGAATAGCCTACAGGAGTTTCTATCCACCTTATTTTTGCAACGTAAGTACAAATAGCAAAGTAAGCTGTTTTCTTTTAATACGAGAGACTTCAGATTCATTAAATAACTTGAAGAATAGCAAAGTGCAGTAAACGTTAAAACTATCTGCGCTACAAACCAATGTTATTTATGCTGATGAATTGAAATAACATGATAAAATACAGTATCAAGCTGTATAATGGACTGTTTTGAATATGTAAAATAACTGGAAGCAAATGACACCGGAAGCTTCGCACATTCAAGTTTCAAATCTGCAAAATAATAGGCTAATGCAAGTGAAGTGCCGCAACTTGCTATTAATAGACCTACTTTAAGTAGGGCCTACTTTTGTATTTGTATATATTGAATAGTTTGCAATAAATCAGGGTTTTAATCATTAAAAATCCCATTACTTGAAATAAAATAAAATATAAACAAATCTTAAACTTGTTTTAGTACTAAAATAACTCAAACTTAAAATTGAAACCTTATATAAAACTATATAAAAATAAAAACTATAAAGACATACAAAAAAAATAATAATGGCAAAAGCACAACAAAATTGCTCAAACTTTAACTCAAGTTAAAATGCAAATGGCAAATATAAAAATAAATACATTTTTAGATTCAATTAAAGTAAATTAATAGGCCTACTAAAATAACACGTGTAAATCAGTAGTTTTACATTGTGTCATTATTTTTGAGTCACGTTATTTTCAGTGCTATATGGGATGAAACGTTCTTCATGAATTTAACCATTTCCAATTACAATTTAACTTGTACTGTGACTTTAAAAAAAAAATTTTGTAAAGTTTGTAATGTTTTCATTCATCTCACAGCTGGTTTGTTTGGATCATGATCTTAGACACTTTATTGAGCACTTTCCCCCAATTTACTGGTAAAAATTAATGGGAAAAATACTTCTGGAACAGAAAAAAAAAGTGTCATCTATTTTATTTATTTAGTCATTTAGCAGACGCTTTTATCCAAAGCGACTTACAAATGAGGACAACAGAAGCAATCAATTGTAGTATTAAAACAACTAAAAACAGATCCAAAACTAAAAGCTAAAACTTTATAAATACTACTTATACACATTTTAAAAATAAAGAAATTAAATACAAATGACACATGCATACAACAAAATGTCAAAACTTAACATTTAAATGAAAAACAAAAAACAATTCAAAATATTAAAGAACAAAATGTATAAGAGTATAATAATGATTCTAACATAACGCTAAGCCAAACACCAAAAAACAACTACATATATGTGTATGTACAACCACACACACATACATTTTCACAATGAATTATTTTTATTAAATCATCTTTATGTCGTCTTTATGTGAAGACACTAACATCTGATCTGCTTTAAAAGACATAATTTTTGTAGCAGCAGCATAAAATAGAATCACATTCTGACTTAAGGCCTTCGTGAGTGTTAAATGATGGATTGTTCCCTCCTTCCGCACTTCAGTGATCTTAATGAGTGGATCTGGAGAGCTGATCACAGCACTCTGGAGCTCGTCGTCGGTATATTAACAGCGAAAGGTTACTCACCCTCTATTTCTGCAGCCCCTAGCCAGAAACTGCTGACTTATGTACAAAAGCGGTAATTTAATTAGACGTGGCTTTGAGTGCTATATGTGTCCACTTCAGAGAGTTAATAGCAATGAATGTCAACAATCGCTTGTAAGTCATGTTAATGTGAAACATCTCATACAAAACAGGAAAATGCAATTAGATTTATTGTTGCATGTAATCTTGAAAAAAAGCTAAATCAGTAAACAATTGAACCTCAGTTATTTCTTGGCAGTGTGTAAGTTCAACTTGAACCAACATGAATTTTTAAAGGGTGTATTTTAGTCTAACATCATGTGCTCTCTGCTGTGCAAGACATGCATTAGTTTCCTGAGACGTCTTGCCGTGGGCTTTTTTATGGCTGATGAGGAACAGATACAGTCAGCTCACGTTATTATCATGCAGGCTAAATGGGGAAACACTTTTCTTTGCAGTACTGTCCAGTCGCATTGCTTCAGATTTTATTTGTTTACATAACATCACAACATTTAACATGTTTGCTGCCTACTGCATTTAAAGGGAATGTTTTCAGATAGACATTCAGTTATATTATAACATTTTGATGCAAACATGCACAGTAATAAAGCACAAATAGTCAACATATTTTGTTTGAAAATATGGCAGTTGAATTTACATGGTGCTTAATATGTTAAAGGAATAGTTCACCCGAAGATGACAATTTGCTGAAAATGTGCTCACCCTCAGGCCATCCAATATGTAGATGAGTTTGTTTCTTCATCTGAACAGATTTTGAGAAATGTAGCATTACAACACTTGCTTGCTAATGGATCCTCTGCAGTGAATGGGTGCCGTCAGAATGAGAGTCCGAATAGCTGATAAAAACATCACAATAATCCACACCACTCCAGTCCATCAATTAACGTCGTCCTGTAAAGCCAAAAGCTGCGTGTTTGTAAGAGACAAATCCATTATTAAGGCCTTTTTAACTTCAAACCATTGCTTCCAGCTAAAATCCTCTATCTATAACATTGCTTTCTCTGGTGAAAAAGTGATTTTGTCTTAATCAGGAGAGAAGTTGATGCACAGATCAAGCACCGTTTACAAGCAAAACCAGTCCAAGATAGTTCTAAACAAATACCCTTTTTTTCCACGGAATGTGCTGAATTTTTAGGTAAACTATTCCTTTAAAATGTACAAATGCATTGATTTCGTAGAGTAAAAGAAATTGTTAAAATAATCATTTTTTAAATGTACAGTCGGACAGGTGATAGCAACCTTACAATGAACATATAACAATTACTTTGAGTGAACAGTGAGTTTTTCGAGGCATGAATAAAGTAAAAGTTCTGCCGTTGCAAAATGTTAGCAATATAATAATAGTAATTATATGTTTATGTCTAAATCTACTCTGAATGCACACAGAGATTCACGTTCTTATGTTTCTCCCAGTAGTGACATTCTTCAGGAAAGCTCGACAGAGCAAAGCTGTCCTTGTGACGACTGACGGCATGAACCAGAAACCCAGCTAACTGCTTCTCCAGAAGCTCCACAACAGCTTTGGCGTCTCCCTTCCTCGCAGGACCTTCCATCACCTGCTTTACGCTCTCGTTGGGCACAGGCTGAGGGTCGCTGCTGAACGAGACCACCAGGTTGGTGTCATTTCCTTGAGATACTTCAAAATAATTCTGTCCGGCCACACACTGAAAGTTTTGTCCGGCTCTCAAGTTGCTAATTTTGCCCAAGTTCCTAATGACTCTGATGGACCAGCTCACCCAGTCGTACTTCTTCACCAGGAAGTCCAGCAGTTCCTTGGCCGTTTCCTGAAGGTTCCCGTTTTCTTTCTCCTTCACAAGCCTCTTGATGTCCAGTTCAGCTTGCTCTGGAAACGAATCCACACATTTCTCTATCGTTTCCTTCATTTTCGTCTCAATTTCTTGGATCTTTGTGCTCCACTCTCGAATCTTCTCCTGCTCTGATTCCTCACCCTGAGTAAGGAAACAATATCCCAGCAGAGCGATGATTCCCAAGCAGAGCAGCTCCTTCAGTCTGACGCAGAAGTCTTCCAGGACCCTTCTGTTTCTGGCCTCGTATTGTTCCACAACATCCAGGATCGGTTCCCCAAATGTGCTGTTCCCCATCACAGCATCGTAAAGCACACAGAGGTTTTTCTCTCCACCTGTTATGAAAAAATGCTCTAAGAACAAGCGTTTTTTGACTTCCTTATACTCAGGTTTAGCCTCCAGAATATCGATGTATTTTCTAAACTGGTTCCGCAAATTTTCCTCCACAGAGAAGAACTGTGAATCCAAACGTCTCCTTCTGATCTCAGAGTCAATGTCCTGCAGCTGACATGAGAGGACATCTAATTTGCTCCTCACAACTAGAAACTGATCTTTGACATATGTGATCTCCTTGCTTTCCACATTGTCCAAGACCAGCCTCAAAACTGGAGCAGAAGCTTCAAAAAGAGGACACAGCTCCCCAACAGCGCTGGCCAGCACCTCGGCTCCTCTCTCAAACATCTCCATCACGGCTTCAATGGCCTCCTTCTTCTGGGCTACAACCCGCTCTAGTGGACTGGACATTTCTTTAAAAGCAAAACCACAACACAAACAAAGAAAAGCCACAGTAATTTGATTTATAATACACTTAAGGTACGTTTTTAAACGATGTATGCAATTTGCATTAAAATATATTTAAGTGTGTTGTAAACATATTTTAAGAAAACACAACAGTGATGTAGTTATAAGCATGTGATACAATATATTTTTTCTTACAACCCACTAGTTTTCATAACTGATCTGCATCATGTATGTACATTTTGTTATTTTGATTTCAAAATGCACTGAATTGGGTACATTACAAATATAAATTATTTGATTTTTGTTGTTTTATGCTCGCATAAATGCAAAAAGTCAAGTTTTTTTTATAGAGGTTGCTAGTCAAGTTTTTGTTCAGCTTTCTTCTTCAAATTAAATGATTGAACCGAGAAATTTAAAATAGGCAAATGGACCCTTTACTGCATTCATTAGTAAAAATAAATGTTCAAAAATAAAATAATGTTGTATTATTTAAATAATGAATCATTTAGGCTATATTTGTCTTCATAATTCACTGAATCAGGTACATTAAATGATTCGATTTATTTTGGTTTGTGTTCACGTAAATGCAAAAGGTCATGTGATTTAATTGAGTTGGATAGAAAAAGTGTAAAAAAAGCTGTCAAGTATGCAGACAAATTATTTTGTTTAGTTTTCTATTTTAAATGATTTATATTCTATTTTAAATGATGGGACTGCAGTGTCGAAATACATTTTTAAAAAGGCCCAATGAACCATTTTAATGCATATCTATCTATCTATCTATCTATCTATCTATCTATCTATCTATCTATCTATCTATCTATCTATCTATCTATCTATCTATCTATCTGTCTATCTATCTATAGTAGGTATACTGTGGGTGTTATCATAAATTAAAACCACAATGACATATACAATAGACAGTCATTAATAATTATGAGAAAAGATCTAACATCACCCTTAAATGGTTAATGTGTCTTTTAAAGATCAACCATTCACAATAAGGATAAATAACTGGAGTTTAAATAATAATACATGATTTTAAAATGATGTTCAATAAAACACATAATGAATCATTTAGGCTACTACATATGTGCGTTCAGAGTTCAGGACACACCTTGCTAGTCTGTCTAAAGCTCTAATGCAGTCTGCCTCACATGAATGTGTCCTAATTATGCGCATCCTTGACATCACATCATCATCCCTTGCAAAAAATATATGTTAAACAGGTTTCTCACGCGTCTCAGGATGAAGAGCTGCTGGAATGACCTCCAAGTTTCCAAATTAGTCCCACAGTTTCAGGTTCGACTTCAAGGCAAAATGTCGTGATCATATGCTCAGTGTGGAAAAGATGTGCGTGTGCGTGAGTGAGTGTGTGTGATAGAGAGAGAGAGAGAGAGAGTTGCGCGCACTGATAGGTTTGGGGTGGTTTTGGAAAGCTGTTGGTAACTGTCGGATCAATGTTTCATATTTGACTGCGGTATATTTGTATAGTTTGTTTACAGATGGATCTGTGATGTGCGGCTCAGAGATCAATTTTTACACGAGACTGTTTAATTGCAGTTTATTTTGCGTCGTGCGCAACCTCTCACGCGCCACTGGATTAACATGAATGTGCGCAGATTTGGGGTTTTCGCATCTCAATATCCTAAAGAAGGTATATATATATCACAGATTATTTATATCACATATTGTATACTAGATAGTATAATATTATAGCCTAATATTCTATAGTATTACATTTATTATATGTGACACATAACACGATACTCGTGTGTCTAATAGATTGTGCGTAAGAGTGATAATGGATAGCTTAAGGGTGATTTTTTTTAGGATATACGGTTGTTATTCTTTATAGAAATACTTAATAAAAATGCTGACGTTTCGACCATAATTGTGCAGGAAAAAAAATCGCGCATCTGGCAGAGTTTATGGGGTAAGTTGTCACAATATGATCCTGCTGTTTTTTGATGCTGATTTGATTTTGCTCTCTCTCTCTCTCTCTCTCTCTCTCTCTCTCTCTCTCTCTCTCTCTCTATATATATATATACACTGAACAAAATTATAAATGCAACACTTTTGTTTTTGCCCCCATTTTTCATGAGCTGAACTCAAAGATCTAAGACTTTTTCTATGTACACAAAAGGCCTATTT